GGGTCAACGTCAAGTTGCAGCGGCGGTGTTCTGTACGACCGAGATGGCGAGGGTTCGTCGGAGATCATGGCTTCCTCAACGGCAGTTCTTCGACGTGGCTTACAGCGGCACCTTTCGTGAGGCACTGTGCCTCCTGTCGAAAGGAGGACCGCAGTGCATCCGTCCTGCAGCTCTGTTACGCCCCTTGCGACGCCCACTCCTGTTTTGAGAAGCAGTTGATGTAGCCTTCCAGAAGAACTTCCCCACAGGCGGCTGCATCGGTCATATGGGCACAAGGACACTTGACTGCAGCGGCAGGTTCACGTGGTCCGCAATGACTCGGACGGCGGCCAGAGTGATTTTAGGTCACTCCGAAGCTAGGACCGGCTTTCGCAGCGTCAACCAGTTTGCTCCAAGACCGATAACGGCACCATACTCGCACAGAAAGTTCATGCCGAGGATGATGTCTCTCGCACAGTCCCAGAGGACGACAAGCTTGACCGGACAGGTCTCCCTGTGAATTTCGACGCAGGCAGTGTCCCAAGAGGTGTGATGAGGTGTCCCTTGCTGGCCGCCCCAGGGCATGGTGACTTTCCGAAGGCGGCGAGAGAGCTTTCCACTCAAAACAGAGCAATCTACTCCAGTGTCCACGAGTGCCGACGCGTCGTGGCCGTCGATGACAATGCTGAGGTGGGTGGGCACCATTGCAGAATCGTCGTTTCGATGCTTGTCGTCATTAGAGTCCCTCCGACGGTCGTCCTCGGCAACTCCGCCTCCGGGGGTTGCCGCGCTTACCCTATTTACTTCGATCTAGGCCGATAGTTTTTACAAAAAAACTTAAAATCGGAACTCGGGGGTCGGCCCAGAAACGAGGATGCGGTTTTCGCCTATACCACTTTGCAGCAATACCAGCTACCAAAACCAAAACTGCCATATTTGTTCGTCGAGCCACGCCAATTCATGTTTCAGAAAGCTTTTGGTGCACAAAAAACAACCCAAACAGCAGCAGGCCCCCCCGCCGTGGCAGCCGCTCCTCGCGTGCATACCTCAGGTTTCGTGCCTCCGCACAGTTGCCACATGCCCCTTGCTATGCAGGAGAAGGACTCCAGCCATGCACCTTGCTCCCTCCCTTCTATTCTTCAAAGAAGTGTACAAAAAAAAAAGTTTACTTTTGTTTGTTGCTCGCGGCGCTGCTCGCGTCTTTATTTGAAAATGCGGACATAAACCGCTAACACCCCCGTCGGCTTTGTAGCCGATCTAGTATTGTATATATCGGAAATAATTGCTGTTCTGTGTTTAATTTATGGTGTTTGACCGTTCCTTTCTTATCAATCTAAAATCGAGGATTTTTTTTTTTTTTTTTTTTTCTGCCTCGTTGTTTTGGGGGGTCAGCTTAGAATCGAGTAAGTAGTTTCCCTGACTAGGTAGGGAAGACACGCTCTCTCTTACCTTGTTGGGGAAACTAAAGGTCTGTTCACACGATGCATCTTTCAGGCGCGCAACAGTTTCGCAACACTCAAGTTTCGCGAAATGCGCTCGTTCACACGTACCGCTTCACGTGCTACAACAACACACACCGATGCACCGTTTTGAGTGAGCTCCGAATCAGATCACTATTTATCTGGGGACCTGCTTTGCGCATTTTATGCAGTCAATTCACTTTAATTTTTTTCTCACATACTGCACTACTTGGGAGTGATCTCTCGCGTGTGCGCTAAGCCAATTGAGGCGGCAATCTGTACGTGAAGGACATGTGCCGGCCTCGAGCCCGTATGCAGCCAATCCATTGCCAAAGCTCCTATCAATGCACATGGTATTCATAGAAACGCTACGTGCCCAATCTGGTTTGCTTCTCGGCGCCCATGTCTGCCCCGAGTTTACTGTGCCAACTGTTTCACAGAGCGCACATGGTTTCAAGTTCGCTTGTAAACCAAGCAAACTTGGTTTCAGTTTACTCTATGGTCTCTTATCCAGAGGTATCGTCGCAACAACAACGCTATGAGCACTATTCTAATCTCGCCAACTCCCGCTAATTGTCTTCATCCATCGCTGGATTTTTTTCTGATATGCTACTCACTTTTCCTTCAGTGGTGTTTGACGTGCTTGCGGAAGCGCCGGCAGTATTTATCATTTGTGGTTTCGGTTTTTTTCTGATTTGGCTCCGCTACAACACCGGCAGTGAAGTGGTCTTCTCAAACAGCTCGCTCCCCCCTCAAAGGCCACATGAGAGCGTTTCTGAGCAGCCATTGGCGGCGCCCTCAGAGTGACTGACAGGATTCGGCAAAGTTGCAGCAAAAGCTCGCTCCAGAAGCTTCTCGCGACACTACTAGATGCGCAAGAAAAATGCATCGTGTGAACGGGCCTTAAGCGCGACGGCACCACCCAGCTGGTCACCCAATGGGCAGAAGAGGTATGCCAGCTAGCCCGCCTTCGGATTAAGGACCAACAATGTGTCGACGCTGACCAGTACAACATTCGTCGTCACAATGTGGAGTTGCAGCCAGGAGACGGGGTGAGAGTGCGGGCACCCGAACGAGGTACAGGGCCTTCGAGCGATCAACTGGTAGCTGAAAGTTGTCCCCGATTGGTCGCCTCCATGTTGCACATTTCTGACCACTACGCGACCGTAGAGTTTTATGTCCAGATTTTAACGAAGTACCGCGCACAAATAATCGCTTATTGATCGTTATTAACGGTACCGACGAGATTAGTTATGTTTCGTTTGTTTTAAATCCGAAATGTGCTTTTACGACAAAAACCCGGGCAGTTTCGCAATGCATCCACTAGATGCCGTCAGCCGCAGTGCTGTACTTTGGGTGTACAGTCAAACCCACTTATAACGAACGCAATAGTTGCGTGGAAAGTGGTCGTTTCATCAGTAGTTGGTTTTATCTGGACTTACCTTTAAAACACGTCATACATAAGGATAATGAAGCTGGTACTGGTAGTTTCGCTCTGCCAGTTCTTTATTTAAAGAAAATGTTTGCACGATTCTAATGCACCCCCAATTCTAACGCGCAGGCAGATTTAGCTTCCGATCATCGAAAAGTAAATTGCTACCGATTCCACCACACAGGTAAAATAATGAAGACTGACCTCATAGAACAGATGTTATGAAACGCACGCAAAAATAAATGTTGTGTCCAGCGATGGTTCTTCCCTGTCCCCAGAGGTAATTAACGCTTGCTTTGGTCTAAAGCGTTTTAAGTGCCGCACTTCCTGCGCACGTACGAATGCACGGCCGTCGCCTCCGGGAGGGTGGTCTTTCAAACGACACTTTGCGAGCTCGTCGGGTGGCTGGGATTGCAAGGCCACGCAGTGCTGCGCCGTTGTTATCTTTTTCCGTCAGCGTGATGCCCTTTCCTTCAAATAAAAACTCCTGGTGTTTTTTTTTTTTTTGTCTTTTTTATTTTAGAACGAGAGATTTCTTGTAGACGCAAGAAAATGTGCATGATACGGACCCCAAAATGGTGAATGTAAACAAAGATGGCGATGGGGCTAGCCACCTTCTACCGAGCATTGAGGATTGCAAACATAGAAAAAACGAACGCAGCTGACGCAGCACGGCATGAGAGTTGACTCCTCCTCTTCTCGTTCCCGCACAATCGGCGTATTGCTTTTGTAGTTTTGTTTCCTCCCCGGGGAAGTATGTTGCGTGGCCGTACAAATGACCTGAAACGTCTCCCGGAGTGCCCAAGTTCTAGCTTTTTTTTTTTTTTTTCGCAAAGAAGTTTTTTTTTTTTTTTTTTTTTTTTTTAAAGCGGATTTTTAGTGTTTGTTGTAACAGCATGATGCATTGAAAAATGGTCGTTTTATCTAGACCAATTTTAATAGGTAGGGCCTTGATTTCGTATATTTTCTGAAAGCTGGTCGTTATAACCAATAGGTTGTTATATGAGGGACCGTTATAAGTGGGTTTGGCTTCAGAGCCAGACAACAGCTGCGTTCGATTTACTTACACCTCCTGAACCAGTGCAGAAAACTGTAGGGCAGTCCACTTCCAGTATGTGCATTTACAGCGCTCTACACTCTTCTGCACCGGTGTAGGAAGTGTAAGTAAATCAAACGCAGCTACTGATCTCTGGGGCTAACAGTATTGGAAAAATAGTTTACCGTATTTTTTACAGCGATTGCGATACAAATGTCGGCTCAGTTTTGCTAAAAGCTCAGGGCTTGGTACAGTCTCTTGTCTATTGGTCAAAATTGTACAACATGGCGGTGGCCAAGTGGAGGTTGCTTTTGCTTGGTGAAGGGGATACCAGTTCATCGCTCTAAGCCCCTCTACCTCATTGCGACACCCATTCTTCGCCGCGGCCTCAGCGAGAAACTGTTAAAATGCTGCTCTGGAGCCTACAAGGTCATTTGCCGCCTTGGGGATTTGAACTACGAGCTGTTCCCCAACGGAACCCGACCATCAGGACGCCACCAGCCACAACCCGAAGTCATCCACGTAGTTTGACTCAAGCTGTTCTACGCGCGTTAGGATTGGGACACTGCATGTTTATTTTGTCCGTACCATACATCTTTTTAGCCATTTTGTTTTCCTTTTGTGTTACATCGGGACCCTTTTAAAAAGGGGGATAATGCTGCGCGCAGGGCCGAGCAAGGAGCGCTCCGTCACAGAATTCTAGAAGATTCGCGGTTATACTTATTCGGGGTGTAACATTTATTGTTTTGTCCTAGTTTCTTGCTCTCGAAAGTGGCTAATCATTTTCACCCCGAACGCTCGAACCTTCTGTACCGTACTTTCGCGATGTTGACGCACACCAGATAAGGAGTTACCCGTGAGCTTGTTGAGTTTGTCTCGCTTGCGCTTCATATTATGCCGCCCGCTTTTCTGCTGTTTCGACGCTCATTCTTTATTTTGATTGGCTACCTTTCTTTTCAGTTCATTATTTACAGCCTCTTGGCCTTACTTGATGACAATACGACAGTCGGGCGATGGATCGGACACAATAGTCCACAGGTCCATAAAGCCCAGTAAGGTGAGAAGGGGCCAGCCACAAAGACCCAGCACGCACCTGGTGAACTAACACTCGGTACCAGCACTTGTCGGTGTGGCAGCCAGCATAGAACCGTCCTCTGCGTAGAAGGGCTTCTGGCAGGCCTTCCGGAAACGCGCTGCTGCCTTCAGCGGCGTAGAAGGCCTGCAAAGATGGGGCAACCGGTCACAGGTCAGTTGCGAGCTGGGGTTCTCACACTCTATAATTGCAAGAAAATTTCCTACGTAGCGCCAAAGAAATTAAAATTATACAAGCTCTATCATACCAACAAAGACTGGAAAGCAGAGAATGTCCATTGAAGCGGAGAGTCTTTTCTGACACACGCCGTGAGATGGTGCAGCAAGAGAGGCCGCAAAGCGCGCAACCCCTCCCTCGTGCGCCAATGGCGTGCTAGAAGACCCGGGATGGCTCGGTCGGCAAAGCACTAGGCTCACAATCTCCGAGGGGCGAGTTCAAATCCTGCCGGGGAACTGAAATCGATTTCCTACAGGCGCTCTTCGTCACAGCCGACTGACAAAGCCAAACTCCATGACACACATTGTATGTTAGAAGAGCCGTCCTGTGTGAATCCACAGTAGTCAGAGTGAACACCCTATCGAACCCCAACACATCACACTACATATCTGCTTCTACCAGCACCTTACATGTTTCCAATGTCTGCTCGGAGCTCACTTATTTGGTACTCGGGTGGAGTAATGGGGCCGTTTGCTGGGCACTCCTGAGCCAATTATTAGACGGCACGTCAAAGCAGCAGGCGTGGCTCCGTGGTAGAGCTTTGCAACTGGCCAATAAAGATCCTCAGATGACTTTCTGCAGGTTTTCTTTTTTAAGCCTTAATGTTGTCAGACTCTTTTCCGCATCAAGATCATCAAGAGTGGGAGCCCACAACAGCTATCGCCGTAAACTGACAACCAACTTTGCGAGACCACGTTTGGGAGCACAGTTTCCTTTTGAAATAATCTTAACCGCAAGGTTGAGACTTTGTCAAGCCCAGGCTCTTCCTCTAAGCACGCAGCATGTCTCTGCAGTGTGCACCTTCAGAAGTGTATGCAATGCACTCCCCACCAGGAATAAGAGGAGGCGACATAGTGGCTCAGCCAAATGAGAAAATCAGGAAAGAATGTAGTTTGGTGGGAATGCCCAAAAGGGTGTCCGTTCATTAGAGTCTTTGGTCATCGCTGAGGCATTCCTTTCACCTCTGGTGGCATCATGTCGCCTCCAGAAGCTTCCTACAGTTGAACCTCTTGAAAACAAACACTGATATGGCAAACTAATCACCAAATTTGGTAGGTCCTGCTTTATTTGGATGGGAGTTCAAGTTATATTACGAAACCCTGAGATCTGACGCACTGTTGGTATAGCGAAGCAATTCCAGCTCTTCTTGCATCACAAAATACTACGAAGGTTATCGAAAAGTAGAAAAAATAAAAAAGTAATTTCTAAACGAAAAATTCCTAAAGTTTAGATCGCCCGATGTGCAAAATGAGTGTTTCGGGAGGTAGCGCCACCTATGAACCAAGTGAATGATTGTGCCGCTGCTGGCCTTGAGGCATCAGGAACCAGTGCAGACTACAGCCAAGTGCCAACCACGCCACTCGTAGACAAGCTGCAAATGGCGACCGAGCGGAAAGCCATCTCTCCGGAGACAAAAGTGAAGGTTTAGCGTACGGTGGACAGCGGCCGGAAGAAAAAAAGACATCACTGCGAACTAGGAGCTTGCACCAAGCACGATATCTACCATTCCGAGTGCAAGGAAGAAGATCACAGAGTGCTATGCAAACAACGTCAAGATTGACCGAAAGAGTCTTGGGCCTTGCCTCAACCCGGACGTGGCTCTGTTCTCATGGTTTAAGGACGTAAGGGCGCGAAATCTGCCAGTGTCGGGTCAGCTTCTTCAAACGAAAGCAATCCGTCTGGTGTGTCTGTTAGGGCATGACGATTTCAGCGCGAGCACCGGCTGGCTTCAGCGCGGTGGCTCTAGCTGAAGAGGCACCAGCCCAAAATCACGCATTCCTTCAAATAAATGAAATTATGGATCCAGCTAACGCGGTTTCTCATGTTCCAAGCGATATCCTCAAGCTCCGATCTATTTTTTTTAATGTTGCTTAGTGACAGGTAAGGATCTTGTGGTCCGGGATAGCTCATTTTTATATCTCAGTGCTGTGCACATTCTTGCACGAGCTCGATTGCGGGAACGTTTGCATCAATTTGTGTGTGTACCTTTGTAACGAATATCGCATAAAGTGAACAAACTTCCGCTCACGATGCTAGTTCGTTAAAACAAGGTTTGACTGTACCTCCATGCCCCAACAATCAATCAATCAATCAATCAATCAATCAATCAATCAATCAATCAGCATCTATTTCAGATTAAAACATAAACTGAGGGTGGCGGGAAAAAGGAAAAAAGAAATAGTCACCGACCGATTTCTCTCACGCCGATAATTCCGACTTGTTCGATATTTCGGACCTATAGAAGAAACCGTGTTTCCGAGGGTAAAAGTGCTAAAAACAATGGACAAGTAAAAGAAACAAAATCCACAGAGCGTTTCTTTTACTTGTCCGTTGTTTTTAGACCTTTTACCCTCGGAAATATGGATCGGTCACCTATTAGCCCAAGTACATACCCTTCTAGAAAAACCGTGACCTACCTGATAGAAACTGCATATTCACGACCAATATTTTGGACAACTTCAAGTCCCAAAGTTAAATTTTTCGGACAAAATTGTTGCGAGCGGTCAGTGGCAAACACCACTGAGAAGCGGCCATTTTGGAGTCTATGTTGGCTGCACATGGATTGGCTTGGTTTGGCAGCGCTACTCGAGTAGTACTGCTAAGCTCTACCGCTAGGTGATGCCCTACGGCGTTTTTTTTTTTTGTCTAGCTGCGCGTCATTATCATCATCACCATTCTTACCGTTTTGCTTTGTTCATTTGCCATTGCAGTCATGGACTCGCGCCTCTCATCTCGACCCAGTAGATTGTCTTTTCAAACTACGCTGGCTTGGACGTCATTGCCCCATCTGCTCTTCCACCGCTGCCGCAATGCATCGCAAAGAAGCGCGCAAAGTACTCGATTATGACGCTAGAAAAGAAGGCAGCGATTATCAAGCCAACAGAAAGTTGCCGAACGGAAACGGAGGCGTAACCTGAAACAAGCCGTGCAGGCGTAACCGGAAACAAAGTACTTTTTATGGCTTTTTTAAACAAGCTTAGATGTAATAAAGGCAAGTATTTATTCTGCCAATTTTTCGGATTGCTCTATTATTCCGACGTTATTTCGGTCCCTGCGGAGTCTGCAAAATTGGTCGGCGACTGCAGTGCAAAAATTTGGAAAACCGTTAATGTTTGGCACAAATGAAAGCTTTCGAATGCAGTGCAATCTGCTAATAATGATGCCACATGTAACGATCCATTTCCAGACTAGAAATGATAAGTTTCTAGTCCAAATGCAATGATAATTGGTTATACAGTAAAACCTCGTTATAACAAAACGGGATATAACAAACTAATGGATATAACAAAGCAATCATAATTCCCCTTGCTTGCTAATAGTGGGAAGAAATGGACATTGGCTATAACAAACTAATGGTTATAACGAAATAATTACGACCGCTCCTTGAACTTTGTTATAACGAGGTTTTACTGTAACGATTGATTTTTCAGGATTTTTTCAAGATGGTATGTCATTCAAATTGATAAGAGCCCGGGAAACAATCGGACGGCGTAGTTGGGTCCAGAGAAAGTGAAACGAGTTTTAGGTGCACGTGCTAATTTCTTGCAGTTGGTGAAATGGATGTGGCGAAACGGAGAGGTCCCTGGTTTGATACCTGGACCAGGCAAATTTTTTTTGGTCACGCACCGGTCACCTCGCTGTGTTTGGAGATTTTGGTTTGTCCTTTGTCTCCTTGTCCAAGGATTATTTTCGTCATTCTTGTCCAGCTCACTTGTACCTTTGCATTCAATTGCATTATTATCATTAAAAACAGACTGTGCAAACAATGAGTCAATAATGTTTTCTTTTTTTCTTTCCATGTTTCGTCCCCCATAAGTTTCCACGAGGTGACAGAAGAAAACCGAGTTTCGCTAGGGGTGGGAGACGTCAAGGAGGCGAGCACCGTCTCGTCAGAGGAGGGTCTAGGAATTCCCGAGGCCGGAAACTGAAGCCCCCAATTAACTCGACGCTGATTGGCCGAGCCAGATGATGACATCACACCCCCAGCTCAATGCTGATGGGCTGGTTCAGGTATAACGTCACACGCGAGGCCAAGCTCGCTCCACATTGATTGGCTGGTGATCGCGCCACCGCTCGCCCGCCCGACAGTGGTCGTCGGGAACACATTTGCAGATATGGAGGGAAGAGCGCCAGGGGTTTCAAACCTGGGTTAGCGCCGTCACCTCCATTCCAACAAATTGCTACCGAGTGTACATGCCACCGGTTAAGTCGGGTTGCTAAACTAACCCATGAAGAGCGTCCAGAACGTCAATCCGAAAGGACTGAAGTTTGACGTGCAGCAGTCAGCAATTTGCTAGATATTTTCTTGACAAACTTCTTTTTGAGCGAGAGAAACTTCCTCCCAACTGAGGAGTGTTGGGTGCCATTGGCTAATGTTGGTCAATGCTGGTAGTTGCAATGAAATCAAATTTTCCAAACTGAAACCTAATTTTTGAGGTTTTGCCGTAAAGAATTCCTTCGAGCAGTCAAGAGACTATCATGTGCTCAACTCAGAAGAAAGGTCTTGTAAATAGCTAGTTTGTTGGTCACCTCAAATAGTACACTAATCCCTCATTAAATTGAAGTCAATGGGACAGCAGAAAAATTCAATAAAAGCGGTAGTTCGATAAAAATGTGAGCCATGAAAAGAGTAACCTTGAAAGTGCAGAAGAACAGTGTGGAAGGCCTATAACAAATATATATTCAATGAAACAAACCTTGCCGGATGAGTCAGCCTTACTGAGACACAAAAAAAGACGGGAGATCAGTTAGCCGGGCGTTTTTAGCAGGCATTAAAAAAAGAAGTCTCCTCCAACTGCCTCAAGCGCCGCATGAGGCTGCTGTCGCTGCCGCCGCTCTCCACCTCGTTGCGAAGAAGGCGAAGCATGTTTCGCGTTTCTCCAGTCGTGGGTACCTCTCGGGGTTCCTCA